GAAGCAGACTGCTTCCCTGAAGATTTACAGCCTTAGAAAATCTGCGGGGGCAATTCCACGATGTCCTACAGGGTCGCTGTGAGTTGGAATCGGCTCGGCAACGGTGGGTTAAGCTCCAGGGATACAGCCTGCGACATCTTTCTCCTGCGGAGCAGCTGGTGGATTTGAATTGCCAACCTTTGGGTTATCAGTCTGCTTAACCATCTGCACCACCAGAACACTGGAAGCCCCGCCCCCCCTCCAAGAGCCTGTGATACGGTAGTGATATATCGGTGGAAGAATTCTCACCTTCCATGGAAGGGACCCACGTTCGATTCCCAACCAGTGCACCCCATGCATAGCTACCATCTGTCGGTGGGGGCTGGTGCGCCGCTGTGATTCTGGGACACAGATCAGGGAACTTCCAGGCTGAGATAGACTTGGAAGAAAGGCCTGGCGACCTCTTTGCAAAAGTCAGTTAGTGAAAATCCTCTGGATACAGTGGTTCTACACGTGATCAATTACAGTGATGTCACGGGGTTAGAAGCATCTTGTCCCCTGGTGTGCAGGGTCGCCACAAGCAGAGGGCTGACCCTCGTGGCAGCAAGCAATACAAAGACCTTCTCCAAGGTTGCTGTCCAACACACATCGGCGTGCCTTACGTGTTGGAGCCGTTTCTGGGTATATTTGACCTACTGGCTTCAAAAACAATGGCACCAGCTTCCCCCTTTCCGCTCTAATCTTTAAGATCCAGACATAGGCCCCTCTCAATGGTAACTCATCACCCTGCTCGTCCATCAAAAATGAGGCTACTTTAATGTAATCTTTCAATGAATACCTTCCAAGCACGAAGGAAACAGGTTAACAACGAAGAGCCAAGTGCACGACATGACGATCTACTTGTTTCACCCCCAATGCACAGATTTCTGATGTCAATGTGCCAGTCACGCAGCACTGAAGAAGCTAGAAATGAGAATAGACGTGGTCTCGGCCATGCAATTTTCTGAATCAGTGCCCCTACGTAACCCCAAGAACAAGCATGAAAACCAAGACACGAGGAGCAGCGTTTGTTTGGTTCTTTGGCTGTGTTCTTAGGAGAAATAGAAATCCTCCCCACAGGCTCTAGCTCCCCAGGGTATCTTCTGCGGGGAGAAGGAGTGACCATCACACCATTGTTGGGGTCTTCGTGGTGGAACTTCCGTTTGGGGAGAGTTTTCATTGGCACAAATACTTAAGGGAAGTTGTGCTAATGGGGAAAGATGGGTGTGGCGAGGGACGGTGATTATAAGGATATAAACATAAACCCGAGCAGAGTATCTAATTCCCAATAAAGACCGGATCTTCTGTCTCTCCTCCTGCTCTATGTCTGTTTACTGCCCTCCCCCCTTTTTTATTTTGACTCTAGACCTCCTTCCTCTATTTTATGAGTTTGCAATCTCATACCCTGTTTCCCTGAAAGTAACACATCCCCCGAAAATAAGACCTACTTACAGTTTTGCCTCTCGCTGAAATATAAGGCATGCCCCTCCCCCCCAAATAAGACCTCCCTGAAAATAAGGCCCCCCCCCAAGCTACCGTAACTCTGGACTCTGGACCGTAGCGGCGGACACCACTGTGCAGCTCACTGTTGGCCGCAGTGCAGCCGGGGTAGACAGGAAGTGCAAGGTCTCTTTTAATAAAACAATAACAATAAACAATAAATGTGTACCGTATTCTTCTTCATGGAAAAATAAGACATCCCCTGAAAATAAGGCCTAGCGCATCTTTGGGAGCAAAAATTAATATGACACTGTCTTTTTTTTGGGGAACCAAGGTAGTTTTCTCCTCCTCCGTGGTTGACTCTGGCCTCTCCCTAGTTCACGTCTTTTCAACTTCACCTCCCACCACCACGCGCTTCATGCTCCCATGATTTCTCAGTTTATCGTCTCGAGAAAGACACTGATTGTTCTAGCTCATCTCCCTCACTCAGGAGCTCTTGAATGGCCAGTGATTGGACTGTATCCGGGTCAGGTGACCATCCCGATTGCATAGTCATGTGGTATGCAACATGGCTGACTGCGGGGCTGGGCCGGACAATTTCCCAGAAGTGGGTGTGGGCAAAGCACTGTAGTCACCTACCTTGCCCATGTGCTGTGACAGTTCCCTCCCAGTTCCAGAAATCTTGAGGAAATCTTTCTCATCTTGGACAGAACTCCTGGTACCAGGTATACAGTTATGAAAGGGTTATTCACGGGATAGCTTAAACCAAAAAATTGTTTGATATATATCAGATATATATCTATATATTTTATAGGGGGAAAATTGCAACACGCACACAATGGGGAGAATGGTACAATGGACGTTCATGTCCCAACACGCAGCTCTCACAAGTCAGAATGAAACACAGGAGTCCTGTTCCGCCTAGACTCCCACATGGTCTGCTATGGCTGGATTATGTTGAAGCAAATCTCAGGCATCGCATCATTTCATTCTTAACTCGTTCTTTGTGTCTTTCAAATAGGGGCAAACAGTGGGTGGGCCAAGTCCCGAGAGCTAAAGTGATTTTTGCAGGTGAACATTTGCAATTAATTTGATGATAGGGAATACGCTTTGAAGAATAATTAAGGAGATGTTATCCACCACCCCAAAAAATATGTCGCTGTTTTAGTTGCCACTCAGTAGGTTTCCCATGTAGCGGCCACATGCAATAGAGAAAAACGATCCCATTTGGTTTTCTCAGTGGCAGTCTGGATGGGAGACATGGCCCAGGTCTTTCTCTCAGGGAGCTGGTGACCTGCCATCCTGTCAGTTAATAGTCCGGCACATCCCTGAATAGACTCGTATAAGAAAAGTTGTCTTCATGATTATTACATTTTCCCACTTCATTCACTGAACCTGTGTGGGAAAAGGTCTTTCGTGATGCAGAACGTGCAGTGTAGCCTTTGATGTTTGCCCTCTTGGTTCACAAACTCGACAGTCTTTCTTTTCTGTCCCTGTCTGGAGCCCTGGTGAAACCCTAGATGCTTGATTATCTGTCCCTGGGGAGAGGGGGGGGGTCAAAGGCTTAGCTGCTTACCCAAAGTCTCAATGGTACAAATTTACCAGCCTGCTCTGGGGGAGAAAGATGCGCCCGTTTGCTCCTGGAAAGACTCTGCTTCTGGAGACCCTGGGGGGGCAGTTCTGCTCTGTCTTAGAGGGTCACCGTGAGTCAGGATCGACCCCATTGGAAGTGGGTTTGGTCTTTGTTCCGGCCTTTTTGTTTGTTTTTTCTCATCGTCAGCATTTGATTTAACGATGTCCAGGTGAGCAGACGAGCAGACTAGAATACACTCAAAGATCGCTATTCAGATTGGTGCTTACGAACACCGAGCAGATGCCAGGACGCGAACGTGCCCGACGCTGGTGGCACACAAACTGGAACGGCACCATTCCTTGTCCTCTCTGCAAATAGTCGGGTGAGACATTGCTCCCCCAACCAAGAGCGTTCCAAGTTCAACAGGAACCGGAAAGACGCCATGCAACAAAATGAGCCTTCAGCCGTTGCTTGCTTTAGGGCTCAACACAGCGTGGTCAACAGAACCTCCTGTCTACTCCACATTGGGCTCTTTGCTTCGGAGCATGGATTGCTGTTTCAGATGACGAACCTGGGGAGGCAGAGGCGTATGTGTGCGAGGGGGGAAAGACCCAGCGAGGGACGGTACTGGGCCTTCCTCTGGTCAGACAGCCATGTGCGGAGGTAGCTCTTCTGAGCTCTTCTTCAACAGAGAACATTCCACGGACGTACCGAGAGGTGGGAAGTCCAGGAACTTCTTGGTGCGACTGAAGATGGCAAGAC